GGGGTCTGGGACAGAAGTTTCATAAACTGGCTTGACCCAAATCAGTTCAGTCTGATACTACATTCAGCGAGGTTTATCTTAAACCAGTTTCAGCCATTTTGAAAATGGTTTATGTACACTGAGCTTCTGTTCTGTTACAGGTTTAAACCAGTTTCTGATCACTTAAACCAGTTTATGTGTAACTTCTGTCCCTAGCCATAGAGGTTCATACTGGCATGAGTTCAGCTTATATCTCACCACATGTTTAAGGGTCTTAAGTGTGGATGGAAGCAGAGTTTGGGCAACAGCATGTGGCAAAGTTGTAGAGCCATGTAGACTAAGGCAGTCATCTCCCAGGGCTGTGCTGCTTTGGCTGTGTAACTCAAGGCCCTGACTGAGGCAAGTAGGACTATGCTCTGAATTCCCACAAGACTACATTAGTGCTGGCTCATTAGTCTGGCCAGTAATTCAACTTCAACCCTATTAGATAATTCCAGGAGGCAGGAGGGTAGGGATGCTGGGTGCTGGGGGCACAGGGGAAGTGGGGACCTGTGGTTGCTGGCATGATTGCAGTAGTGATCATGCAGCTGCCAGAAGCAGGACCTTTTTGTCGCTGTCCTCCCCCACCCCCAAAGTTGGTGCCCAGGGCAGTTGCCCCATTTGCCCATTTGCACTAGTGATGCCACTGGATAATTCTTTATTAAAAATGATATGATTTTTACTTTATTTTTTTTAATTATAAGCATAGAATGCAGTATTCCATGTGTGGCTCACAGGCCTCTTTTCTGATATGTGCTCACAAAATGTAATCTACTGAAATTTATACTACTTGTCATGCTAAACCTTGAGTTTTAGGCCAGAGATCTAAATAGAACCTTTTTGCTCTATGGACCGGTAATGGTAATACATGATCTTTTTTCAGTCCACAGTTCAAGCAGCATACAAACCACATAATGTAGTGATAGTCTTTTTTGAAGGGAGATGAAAGATGGAATAGAGCAGTGATGATGGATTTCATATCTCACCCCCAGGGATGATTCTGGGTCGCACAATGCTAACCATAATTTCACAGAACTGCCTAGAGAATCTTGTTTGGCAGTCATGTGCAATGTGAGTGAATAAATACATAAATTCTGTATCCAAAATAGCTATATTAATTTTACCGCACTCTAACATTTACCCTGTTTACAAAAGTAAAAAAGAAAAAAAATTGGAAATATAAAGAGGCCACTTTATTTTTAAGTAGTGCTTGGAGTCAGCTACATTACCTAATGTGCCAGGCTAAGAAAAGAAAGTAGATAATTAAAGTGATGCACATGGTGGAAACTAAATTAAATGTAGTAGTACATCTTGTTTAAAAAATGTCTAGTGACAACTTGTTCTTTCTATACTTCTCTTCCTGGCATATTTCTGTTTCAACCTAATAAGGTTAATAAGATGAAAGTACAAATAACTATTTGGCTTTTGGCTATTTGGGTTTTTAATTAGTCTTTTTCAGCTTTATCCTATTCAGTCTGAGATGCCTGCACAGGACTTGGGTGGAATTTAGACACCTGTTTCAAAAAGTGATCCAGTTTGTCCCTGTTCTTGAGCCCCACAGAACTCAGAAGATACATAATTTCTTGGACTTCAAAGTTCCCTAGCTCCTACAGTTGGGCTTCCAAGCTTGCTCAAAAGAAATGCAGTTTGATCATCTAGGTATTAAACTCCTGCCTAAGCTTCCCTTGGTACTAGGGAGGTGCTTTAAGACCCCCAAGGAGACCCACTGTACCAGGCATGCTCAGAAAACTCCTGACTGAAACTGATAGCATTGAATTTAGCTCAGAAGTAATGATCTGGAGTATGGGAGGCCTGGGTTATAGGGCACTCAACCACACATCTGCCACTTCCCAGAACAGCACCACAGCCATCAGGCTCTAGGATAGCCTAGATAGGGGAGACCCTGTACCCTTCTTGAAGCTGGGTCACTGGGCAGCCAGTAATGCAGTCATGGTGCCAGAAGCAAGAGGAAACTGCCTCTGCATGTAGTCTTGTGGTTATGCCCCAACCCCTGCCCTAGAAGAGGGGAGATGTGGGTTCGAATCCCTTCTTTTAGGGCTCTTTATATATTTTAGATTAAGTTTGGTTAAAAAAAATCCAGAAATTTGTCTTATGATTTTTACAGAGTAGCTAGAATGCCCCATCCCAGCCCCACAATTGCTGCCCCACCTGGCCCCATCCCCCACCAGCTGCTGCAGCCCCTCC